ATCATATGACCAACCTTTCTACCTTGTTTGTTTCATATGATTTACTTCCTGGACATGACAAAATCACCCTAGCCGATGGTTCTCTTGCCTCTATCTCCGGCAAGGGAACCATCAAGGCTACAGATTCCTTGATCCTTCTTTCTGCTCTTCATGTACCTAGACTAAATACAAACTTGTTATCTGTAAGTAGTCTAACTAAGCCAATAAATTGTTATGTAACCTTCTTCCCTTCCTACTGTATTTTTCAGGATCTGGAGTCTCAGAAGGTGATTGGGAGTGGCCGTGAGGCGAATGGAATATACCTGCTTGATACTTCGGGGCAGTGCTCTGAACAACCTGGAAAAACTGCTTTTGGGTCTATATCTACAGAGTCTATCAGTCGAGTCATGTTATGGCATTTTCGTTTGGGTCATCTTTCTTTTTCTGCATTGAGTCATTTATTCCCTAAACTGTTTAAGGGAATTAGTTTGTCNGATCTTCTTCTCCTTTTAATATTGTGCATTCTGATGTGTGGGGGCCTTACCACTTACCCTCTATGGGTGGCTACAAATATTTTATCTTGTTCATTGATGAMTTTTCTCGGTTTACTTGGATATTCCTGATGAAATCCCGTGATGAAGTTCCCAAACTTGTGAGGCAATTCCATGAATTTGTCCTAACCCAGTTTGATACCGGGATTAAAATTTTTAGATCTGACAATGCAAAAGAATATTTTGAGAACTTGTCCTGCTATCTCACTGACTTAGGGGCTATTAATCAAAACTCCTGTGTTAGAACCCCAGAACAGAATGGAGTTGTTGAAAGAAAAAATAGACATATTGTTGAAGTTGCAAGAAGTATCATGTTTGCCTCACATGTTCCTACAAAGTTTTGGGGTGATGTTGTTCTCACTGCTACCTACCTCAAACCGTATGCCATCCAGGGTTTTGGGGTTTAAGTCTCCTTTCAGTCTCCATCCGGACAATAAGCTTTTTTCTATTCCTCTTCGTGTCTTTGGCTGCACCTGTTATGTACATATCCCTAGTGTCCAAAGACATAAATTTGAGCCAAAAGCCCACAAGTGTATCTTCCTTGGTTATTCCCCCACATAGAAGGGCTACTGTTGCTTTGATCCAAAGATTGGTACTCGATATGTTACAATGGATGTCACTTTTGATGAGCTTTCTTCCTTTTATGGTTCCACTATGGAGGGACATTGTCCAAAGGGGAAGGATTTGTCACAGGCCTTTGCTCTTCCTCTTCATGTTTCAGTTGAGTCTTTTACTTAATCTCTTCCTCCTTCAAATGAATCAAGGGAGGATCAATCATTCCACTTTTCCTGTCCCAGTGTTCCTTCCCCTTTACCTCCTCGTCCTCTTTTTAATCCCAGGATGTATCAAAGGCAAAGATTCAGAAATGAGCAGGTTGTTTCCCCTACAACACATGAGCCTCGTGCACTTCCAGTTACAGATGAGACAACAAGTACTGTTTAAGCCCCTTTGGAACCATCCTTTCCAGACCTTGATATCCCCATTGCTATTAGGAAAGGAAAAATGAAGTGTACTACACATTGCATTTCCAAACACCTTTCTTATAGTATGCTTTCTCCTTCATATTTTGCCTACCTTTCTTCTGTTGCCTCTAACCCAATTCCCAGGTCTGTGTCAGAAGCTCTTAATATTCCAGAATGGAGGGATGCTATGAGATCCGAAATTGATGCCCTACTCAAAAATGACACTTGGGAAGTGATTGATTTGCCTGAAGGGAATGATCCAGTTGACTGTAAGTGGGTCTTTACTATCAAATATCATACTGATGGTACCATTGAGAGGTACAAGGCTAGGCTAGTTGCAAAAGGTTATACACAAGCATATGGGATTGATTATCTGGAGACCTTTGTCCCTGTTGCCAAGATGACTTCTGTGAGAGTTCTTCTATCTTTGGCTGCCCACTCAGACTGRCCACTTTATCAACTGGATGTAAAGAATGCATTTCTGAATGGAGAATTACACGAGGAGGTTTATGTCTCTTCCTCCAGGGATGTATGAAACAAATATGAAAGGAAAGGTATGCAAGCTGAAGAGATCTCTTTATGGACTAAAACAGTCCCCTAGAGCATGGTTTGAGAGGTTTAGGGCTGCCCT